TCACATCCTCCTGCAGCAAGGAGTTCCACAGGTTGTCTCTTTGCTTTGTGAAGAAGAACTTTCTGTTACTAGTTTGAAGCCTGCTACCCATTCCTTTCCTTTGGTGTCCTCTAGTCCTTCTTTATGGGAACTAATGAAGAACTTTTCTGTATGCACCCTCTCCACCCAACTCCTGCTTTTAGAGACCTCTATCCTGTCCCCCCTCCGTCTCCTCTTTTCTAAGCTGAAAAGTCCCAGTCTCTTTAGCCTCTCTTCATATGTGACCTGTTCCAAACCCCTCATCATTGTAGTTGCCCTCCCCTCTCCCACCCTCTCTCTTCCCCTCTCCCACCTCCTTTTTCCAGTCTCCCCCAGTTTTGTTCAATAAAGAGAGATTCTATTTTTGAACACAATTGTCCTTTATTTTGTACATCAGGAAGGGGGGCTAGGGAGGGGTAAGTGGAAGGAGGTGAGGGAGGAATGGGGTACGAGCCCCCAATGGGGAGGACTGGGCTGGCTCTGCGGGCTTCTGGGGGTGGAAGCTCTTCTGCAGCCCCCAAATTGCCCCCTCTCCCCAGATGGCAGCCTGCGGCAAGTGCAGCCGGTCTGATGGCCAAGTGCTGTGATGTGCCCAGTGTGGGTACTCTGGGCAGTCCAAGCCAGGACTGCTTTGCAAGTGGGGCACCCATGAGAACTGTCTGTCCGGGGTGGGGGTTGGGTCCCTTTAAGCATGGAGCCCAGTTAGACTCACGCAGCAGCCCCACACACTAAGTCCTAATCTGATGCCCTGCCGACACTGGTTCCGGCCAGCCTTAAGTTCAGTTCACGGTCCACTCAGTGTGGATGCAATATTTCGAAATAGCAAAACACTATTTCGAAATCAGTTTTGTGTGTAGATTTGTTAATTCAAATTAGCTTAATTCGAATTAACTATTTTGAATTAAGTTAACTCGAATTAACACTGTAGTGTAGACGTATCCTAATAGTTTAGCAACCTAATAATGAAACAGTGTTAACCAGAATGACTTTGAATGAGGAGAAAATGTAGAGTGTAGTGCAGTAAAGTTGCTATTTCATTACTGCAGAACACTTTTCAAAGGACTTACCTCCTCAGAAAGCCACTACAATGTAACATAATCTCAGTGCAGCAATAGCAACTGGAGAACATTCTGTATCTCATTCTGATCTCTTTATCTTTTCTATAGGAGGGGAAAAAATCTCTGTGCTATTCATATGACACAGGGGACTTTTTTTGTTATTTTATATATCTTTATAGGTGAGATCACATGACTTTTCTTTTCTTGTAGTAAACCTAAAGTGATTGTTGACAACTTTCAGTTCCCACATAGTGAGTGAATGATAATAGACTGGAGCAAGAGGCTGTGAGTTGTATTCGGTTCTTATATCTGTACAACACAGTTGAGTCAATGTGCTGGAATCTAATTTCACACCAGTTTTACACATTGCACTTCACTCACTGTCACCATTAACACTGGTGTAAATTGCTTCAATATTTCTAATACTTCTCCAGAACTTTTCCTTTATTTTTTCCTTTATTTTAATTTATAAGCCCATCTATGTAACAGAGAACACTGTGGTCTAATTGACCCTTCAGAGAATCTGCTTTAATACAAGCGTTTCCTAGCGTAGGGGAATGCTGTAAGAAACTTTAATTAATCTAACTATAAAATATCCTTTTTCTCCTGGGATTACAGCACACTGTAACAAAGCCACTGTCAGCTGAAAAAAAATACAGTGA